GGGGGGGGGTCGCAAACAGGCAGGTGTTAACACACAATTCCTAAAGATTATCCCCAGAAAGCAAGAACGCAACTTCCAGTTGCGCGGAGCGTATTTGCTTGCACGTTTTTTACGCACGCACAAGCATCCGGGGACAGCTGACGCTTAAGAAAGATTAACTAAACAGCGGGGTCGGATATTACGCGTTGGCTCCATTCCAGCGGAGGAGGCAGTTTGGGTTTAAAAAGCAACAAAGGCGCATGAGCCCCGACAGACGAACACAAGCAATAAAATTTACGAGGGTCCTTAATTACCGACCCCGCTGCTCCAGAGTCGTAAATTGCAGCTGCAAAGTGGCTGCCTGCTACCAGCGCTGCCTTCAGTGGTTCCTCCACCCCTTCGCGTGTGTGTTTGAACCGCGATGACAACTCACCGGTGCTAACGTGGACTTTTTTCATCCAGGGATAAACCACCGGCTCTTTGCCCTTCACCGCGCCGGGGTAGACCTCACCGGCGAGGCTGCAGTCCTTAATGGCCCCCGCTCCGCCGTCCGGGGCCGAAGCGAGGTTCTGAGGAAGCGTTGGCGGCTGCGCCGCGGAGTGGTGGCCGTCGCTGAAATCGTCCAGTCCGCTGGCGGGGACGTTGGTGTAATCGTAGCCCGGTTCCGTGTAGTTGGATCTGGGGTAGGATGGCTCTTCGTGATGGGGGAAGCCCGTGTCTTTTGGCCGCTCGTAGTAGTCCCCCGGGTTGGGGATGTATCCGCCCTGCTGGTATTCGTCGCATGGAGGAAAGGACGGCTCGATATAGTTGGAGTTTATCAAGTAGGAACTCATGGTCATTAATTTGTGAAGTGCAACAATACTAATTTTTATCGCGCTGTCGTTTTTCTGATCTCCACAAAACCCTCCTACTCGCTGTCAAATGTACAAAGTTGTGTGGTCACGTGAGCGCGGCCACCAATCAGAGCGAGTCCTGCGGGCATCATGTAAACAGGAACCAATGGAAAGCATGGCACTGGCACCAGCAGAACCTCTCCGGACTGCCTTACGTAGCTGTTTTCCTTGTTTAATCTCATTATATAAAAGCAAAACCAATCAAGATTCTTGTTTACCGCACGGCGTCAAAGTTATGTGGGCGAGGCTTCATGTGGACAAAAAAAAAGAGGAGAAACTACAAAGTTATCTTCGAAAATATTCTCGTTTGAACACAGATTTTGTATTTATTAACATGTTGGTTGTGTGGACTTGCAAAATGATCGCTCGACTTGAAAAAAAAACAATTGAGTGTCAAAATAAACATTTTGACACGATCACCACCAAAGCGTTCACGGACAATGACTTGCAGAGACGAGCTTGCCTTGGACCACGCCAGGCAACAGCGGTTAAAAAAATACACAAAACATCCCGCACGATCCCATGTACGCAAACAAATCCCTTTCATTTCGTCTCTTCAAAGCCGCACAAAAACTGACAACCAACGCCGACGTGAATCTGATTATTCCGATAACCTTTAGATATCTCTCAGCTCATCAACAAACACGGTTTTCAGCATGGATGCCAATGATCCTCCAAATTGTTACACACACTATGGCTCGATGCATTCCGAAATGCTCACCAGCAAGAAACGATTGCAGACATGCAACACACATCATCTGGCAACACAAGCGCCTGCAAAACAAAGCGCTGGGGATGTTGTGTTCGCGGTCAAGCACCGAAGGACAGCATTGAGAAATACAAGACATACGTTAAGGACACAAACTGTGCAAAAAATACAACATGTTGTGTCTTTAAGGTGGAAGTGAATTTCCCAATGCTGCCCCTCAATGTAAATCTTTTATAATAATAATTTAAAAATAAACTGTCAGCACAAATCTACAATATCCAATAAACGCTGCAAAACGTTCTATCAACACTTCAAGCTTCATGCTGTGTAAAAATCAAACATAAGAGGGGATGCATATCACCAACACGAGGAACAGCACTGAGTATGTCATAATAACAATAATAACAATCATAATAATAATATTTAGAGTATTCTGAATATGCATGCCTGCTCAGTAAATGTAATATGCTCCTTAAATAATTCCGGACTATAGCTTTGTATTATGCATCTATTTTTTATACTAGTTTATATCTCCATTGTATTTGATGCAATTGTTTAAAAAAATATTCTGTTGCTCAGATAGTCAAATGTACAGGAGCCCCCAAGATTTTTTTTGTGAAGTTAAAAGTTTCTGACCTTGTTGCTGACCACCAGCCATCGGACCACGCTGCCGGCTGCCCATCGTGGAGGCGAGACAATCTCCCCCGAGATGCTCCAACTCCTCACCGGGACGCCCCGTCGCCGTCAACAAGGCCTCTGCGCGCACAAACAAGGAGCCCAAACTTGAGGAAAAATTCCGAACGCGTTTCCTTTCTCCCCTTCATCCCCGTTTCCCTCCCGAGTCCCCCACCTTTTCTGTCTTCACCCCCCCCACCCCAAACAGAGATAACTTGTGCCTGACCCCGAACTGACACAGTTTCCATTTTGTTTCTGATTAATCTTGCCCATTGACAGTCTTTGTTAAACAACAAGTCGTGCCCCCTTCTTCCAAAGGGGCGACATTTTCATATCAGTTAGACGCGCTGACCCGCTCTTCACCCTGGACTTGGACTTCTGGCCAACTGTGGATTTTTTTTTTTTTTTTTTTGAGGGGACCTCTTTTCAAAATTCTCCAAGCCGACAAACACGAGCTTCTGCAATAGAATTTGAATAAAAACGACCGAAAGGGGATGAATCGGACTGATCTTGGAAGCGAAATATTGCATATGATTATCATCAAGAACATGTCAACATCATCTGAGCAATAAGGGTGAAATTTACGATCGGATTCTACAGAGGTCCCGTTTAAATCTGTGCCGGGACAGCTGAGCTATTAGCGCTTTACTGTAAGTTATCCTGTGAGTGAAATAATGCTCCGACGTGTCGTTGTACTTGTTGCTGATCGCCATCCTGTAGAATCACTTTAAAAAAAAAACATTTTCCGTCTATCCGATCGCGTTTATCAGAGGCCTGCAAGATGAGCGCCAATTCATTTCTCCAAAGTGCATTTGGAAATTAGCATCTCGAGTGAAAATTAAATGCAAAAAAAAAAGTGTATTCATTTTTGCCCAGCATGCAGTTGACAAGCTTGCGTTGCGCGTGAAGTTATACGGCGAGCCATCGACCGTGATGTCGCACCTCAGAGAACATAAACCGCCAAGCGAAGGTCTGCCGAGGCGAGATACATCACCGTGACACTTTACTGTAAATTTAGATTATGACTGAAGTGCTGTGGCGATAGTGACAAATTGCAGGTGGCTCACACAAGGTCTCTTGTCCATACATAATAATAATGAATAGCCTCCATGCATCCAGTGTGAGTGTCGACGATTCCGATCGTGGGGCAAGAAAAAAAACGTCTATCATAAATTGATAGAAAATATTTGCAAATGTGGGCAAAAATAAATGATGTTGTTTGTCAGGAAACAAAAAAAAAGATGCAGAGCGTTATGGAATACGCACAAATGCAAAATATGAGCTTGGGTACACCGTCGTGTTTAAATGTATTATCTGAGATGCAAAGTTTGACTTGTAAGGCCCTTAACTTATTTTTTAAATGAAATAAATGTGTGTGTTTTTTAATCCCACACGTTCTTGGTGTCTCATTGCCAATACGAGTAATTAAAAACATTCAAGAATGTCTACTTTTCATATATTCCACGATTATCGATTTGATTCCATATGCGAGCTCCTCGGATAGTTTATGTGCCTTGGATTAGATTTAACTTTTTAAATGTTCAAGTATTTTTAAATTGAAACTATTTTCTATCTATTTTACATCGGCTTTCCTTTAATATTCAATTTTACAATTTAGATGTCGTTTTTATTATTGTCCATAAACTGGATGATTTATTTCGAATATTATCAGTACTTCCTAAAAAGCCCAAAACGCCCAATTACGGAATAAAATTCAGTATTTTAAGACAGTCTTTGTGACCCCCGCCCAAAAAAAAAAACATCTGTGCCATTGGTGCGCCCCTAAAAGCTTTCTATTCAACGCCATCAGGATACGAGAGGCTAAATGATTTTTAAGGGGGACTGGGGGCTCACTTTGGGGGTTGTGGACTCTGTGCAGGGCCTTCCCATTACGCCTGTGACCGGGTCGAGAATATCAATCCTGAAAATGCAAATGCAGCCCCCCGTCCCCAAACATATTAAATGCAATTTATTCAAAGGAAATTCACCAATCAAGCGCGATAATAAAACGCCAGCCACTCAATCTTGTTGCCAGGGACGGCTCGGGTAGGGGGGGTGGGGGGCAGAAGGGAGGGGGTCCCCTCTCCCCACCTCCAGAACGCGGGGTCACCGTGCATACAGGGTTCACCTGGAGTGCACCCTGCAACATATGTAATTCAAAGCTATTCTGCCTTTTGTGTGGACGAGTCAAGATCGCTATTATGAGGCTGCAGGCTTCAAGCTGATGACGGAGACTCGCTGCTCAACTTTTGACCCCAATTTTTCCTCTTCTCTCTCTCCTGCTATCTCGCTCTCGTCAGAGGAGGCCCATTGAGGCGCCCCCCCGAGTCCCCCTCCCCTCAAAAAAAAAAAAAAAAAAGATTCGAACAATCTCAACGTGAAGCCAAGACGGGCATCAATTCCATCAATTTAATGGAGAGGAAAAACCTGCACTAGTTGCGCGATGCTTCCATGGAGTGAGGAGATGGATTTTTCAAGACAAGATATGCAAATAAAAGGAGCAAAATGAGAGCTAAAGGAGCCGGAATGTTGTCTTTCAACAGCATCCAAACACTTATTTTTTTTTTAGCATCCCATGTGTTTATTTACGCACATCACTCTTATCTGGACAAGGCCAAGGAAGCGTGCTATTAAGTTGCTTCTGCTCTACACACATTTGCAGGCTGACAGTGAACTTGGCCTAAAGCGAGCTCTGCTGGTGACTCGGAGAGGATGCAGATTCATCTTGGAGCTGCAGAGGCTGACCTGCACGTGAACCATACTCAGCCTGGCAGCGTGCCGCGCGATCATTTGACGTATTGGCTTGGATTTTCATTTCTAAAAAAGCCGAGCTCGCTTTCTCTCCCTTCTTGAGTGTATGTGCGCCTTGTTTTATTGGCGTTGTGTTCGCAGGACAAAGCCGCGTATGTAACCCCCCTCCCCTCCACCTCCCGCGTGATGGCTTCTCGAAATTGAGAAATGTCCAATATGCATTGGGAGTATGGGCAGTGATTGAATTGTTTTGATCCGATGTGGATAAATCAAGAAAAAAAAAAATGGAAAGCATCCATCTGATCTGTCGAGGTCATCCGAATTCATGTTTTATTGGAAGTGGTGGAAATGCAAGATTTCCAACACAAAGTCGCCCAAAAATGTTTAGAGTGTAAGACTGTCGTTGATTATATAACTACCTGTTCATCAGGAGGTTATTTTAAATCAGGCAAGCCACACCTTCAATTTGGGACCTGAGTAAATGAGTAAAACGATATTCATATTTTTCTACCCCACCCCTCGCTCCCCCCCCGCTTCATTTTTGCTGCTGTAGATTGCAGATTTCTCCATTGTGGCACAAATAAACGTTTTCTTATCTTTTCTTAAATACGCATCTATAAGTTATGTAAATCGGTTCAATTCAGCTCTTTCGTTTTGTCGGCATTTTTAAATTAAGTTCAGTCAAATGTATTTAAGGATCCCTTCAGCAGTCTCGAGAAGCTTCACACACATTTTCATGACGTCATCGTGATGTACAATATAGGCGATAGGCCTGCTCGGCTAATTCGGGGCGACATCGTTCAACTTTCTCTGAGAGCAAATATTTTTGGGTTTGGTGGTATCGGCACGAAATTTAGGGTTCTACTTAAGAGAAATATTTCACGTCAGCCGTTTTCGAAAGGGGAGAGTCCTCAAAACCACGTCGGCCTTTTTAATTGATGTCAAGTCAAAAACGCCTTTCGGCAATGATGCTAACGGCACACCAAAACAAGCAACGCGAGAACGACCTCGTCTGCGCTTATTCTTTCATTGTTTGTCCTCAAAATCGACCAACAATGGCGTCTATACGTTTTCCCTTGTCACCACAAAGGGAGAGTGACTTTTCCAAAAGGGTCTGCGGTGGGCCGGTGGGGGTCATTTGAACTTTTCAACCCCCCGAACACAAAATGACGTGGCTGACACAAAACCGGAATTCCTTCTCAAACGTCTCCCCGCTGCTGTTTGTTCCCGCCTCGTGTTTACTTGACACTGTTTACAGCCGAGCCCAAATATGTGCGTAAAAGCAGTAAACTTCCCCTAAAAGTCATCAGGGGAGAACATTCAGGATCCGCAATGGGCGCAGAAAACTTTGTGCGGTGTCCTGTGAATCCTCCAATGTGATCAAATTGAGAGGGGGTGGGCGGGGGGGAGCACATCCTCTAAGACGACAAGTTAGTGGGTGGAAATGGACGCAGAGATAATTATCCAACATGCAAAAATGGATTATGAGTCGCACCCCAGATGGAGGGAAACAAGTTACACGGGGAAGGAAGCAATTAAATGGCCATGAGCCGGACCCAACCCTGCCTGCAACATCTGCCCAGACCAGAATTCAGCCCAGCACCGCTGACAAATTAGCGTAATGGACTAATTGGGAAAGATCGAGGCAGAGCGCACAATAATAAGGCTATTTAACACAGGCTCGCTTGTTCTCGGGCTACCGTCCAATGTGCTCGTATATCGACTCACCCGAAGATACGTTTCTTATCCCGGCCATCCTCGCATGCGGCGTCCGATCCGCTCCGGTCCGGTCCACTGAGCTCAAGTGGCGCTCTTGTTCTGGTCAAGACACTCCTCAAAGGGCTGCAAAAGGCAGAGTCAGACCAAGCCTCGTCGTCAGTGCGATTATATGTTATGTGCAATATACTGTCAACTCCCCAAAACCATAAAACTTACTTTAATGGCCACCACGTGACCGTTTATGGCCTGTGAGCCTATCTGGACGCGATCCGGATGATTTTTACGATCTAATTCATAGACAAAACCCCCCTCGTTCATTTAGCACCCAAATGTCGAAGAGCCAGAAAGGGGGCCTAATAAAGTTTACTGCTTGAAAAGTCGAGCTGATGCTGCGAGAGGTGGGGGAAAAAAAAGAACTGTTTGGCGTGCGCGCTGAATGCGCCTGATGAAGAAGCCAAAAGCCAGCAAGGTGAGTTTAAAAACAAAACCCGAATCGCTTATACCTGTTGATTTTCATTCAAACACGGGGAATTTTTACTAAATATTTGACCACGGGCAAAAAAAAAAATAAATATAGATAGACAACGTGTCTGTATGTATCATAGCGCACAAAATAATGCAGTTCCAGTAGAAAGTTTATTATAATTACCATGATGAACAGCAACAATGTCTTTACAGTACATTCTTGACTTCCAGTCATTTAGAAAACATTTACAAAAAAAAAAAAAAATTGTTGACACCACGGGGGTTATACACAACGCGGATTTTAAACAAAAGGCAAGCGATATTTTTTTTTTGGGAAAGCCTTATGTCTTATAAGAAATGCAACTCAAAATACAATGCGCAGCGATATGTACACACCTCAATTTGCAGACTTTTATCGCAATATACACACCACACAAATAAATACAAGACACATAATACACTGGAGGTACACAGAAAATTTTGAGCTAAACAAATAGAGGCATGAGACTCGAGTGTACATTGAAGTGCATTCGCTGGTTAATAGGTAGCATTTTCTCCCTTCCTTTTCCCCCCCTCAACAAGAAATAATTTAAACCAACATTTATTTCATCGTTTTCTCTAAATCTAGACCAAACTGTACATTGGAGATGGAGGAATTGACCACTAAATGGAAAAATTATCATGTCGGCTGCTCCTGGTGGATGCAGTCATGTGTCTCTGCACCCCCAAGAGTTGATATGACATAACTTTTATTTTTGTCTCACTCCTATATCAGGGGTGATGATGAGTGGGGTGGGTAGGTTTTTGTGTGGGGGGGTATAATCAAGGCCTGTAGCCCCCCGCGCCTGCAGCCATGCTCATGCTCTTCAGCTTGTTGTCCTTCTTCCACTTCATCCGGCGGTTCTGGAACCAGATTTTGATCTGTCTCTCCGAGAGGCACAGGGCGTGCGCAATCTCGATCCTCCGCCTGCGGGTCAGGTAGCGGTTGAAGTGGAACTCCTTCTCCAGCTCCAGGGTCTGGTAGCGGGTGTAGGCGGTGCGGGCACGCTTGCCCTCTGGTCCGGACAAATCTTGGGTGGGGGAAGTGGGCGAAGAAAGGGGAAGGAAGAGGAATATGTGGATTAATTGAGGTTTGACGTGCTTTTTGTATCGTTTTGGGGGAGCATGTGAATGGTAACAAGGGCTTCATGTATTTAATTTCAATATTTATAGAACACATTGGAAAAAAAAATCATGGTTGCTCACAATGTAAAAAAAAATGGCATCACAACTAAAAAGTGTCCATCACTTAAATTCGTCTCCACTTAAGTAGCGTTATAAACTTGATTGCGTATTTTTTGCAAACCAATTGAGACAAAATAAGTGGGCACATACCCTCGTGTGAGGATAAAAAAATCTATTTCTATAATGGCAACATCAACCAAGTTAAACTTGAATCTACGCAGTTTTGAAGTGTGACTTTGGGGTAGACTCTCAGAATAATGATAAGATGCTCCGCGTTTTGTGGGAAAAGTCCTGAACAAAGTATGACTTGCGTCGAAAGACTCTCGGAATAAAGTAATAATCATACACATGGCCCACATGGGAAAAGTCTGCCCTTTTCTTTCCCCTGGCTCGATAAAACCTCAAGAGAAAATGCATTTTTTTTTACCGTGACTTATGTGCAGTTTCCTCATCCACGGATATATTTGAGGCTGGGCCGGTTCGCTGGCATTCTGCGGCGTGCCGGGTGCACTCCCCGTGGGCTTTTCTTCGTCCAGTGGGGGCACTTTGGGCGCACAGTCCCGACCGCGCAGGAGAGGAGCAGCCCCGCCGGAGCCGGAACCCGAGCACGGGCTCGGCAGTGAGTTTTTCACGGCTCGGTGCTGGGTCCGAGACTCGCTGACCTGCGTGGAGCCGGCCACCGAGGACGAGCACGGGATCGGGTCAGCCGCGGGGGACAGAGCCGAGTTGGCGGAGCTGCCGGCGACCGACTGCGTGTACCTGAGCGGTTCCGCCGAGGGGGTCGCGGCCGCCGAGTGGCTCGGGGAGAAGGCGGCCGTCCGCTCGCTGGCCACAAAGTGTCCGGTGGCGGGCCGACCGACGGTCAGGTCCATTCCGTTGTAGCCATAGCCGTACCTGCCGGAGTGCATGGCGCCGGAGTCTCTGTATTGCTCGTCGGCCGAACTATGCTCTCCATAATTATGTAACTGGAAGTCCGCGCCATTGGGATAGCGACCGCAGAATGAGTTCACAAAATAGGAGCTCATTTGTTGACAATTCCCCCGCTCGCTGTGTATTGCTGCTGTTTTGCGCCTTTTATTGTTGTTATTGCAAGAGGAGAAAAGCATCAAGCAGGCGTGCTTGATTTGTGGCTCTTATGCTTTAGCGCGTCCTATAGCAGCCTTGCACAATTTATGATGAATTATGGAAATGAGTGGGCCATGGACTTGATTCTCTCTTACGTAGGCACCCAAATATGGGGTACGGCGGAGTATCACGTGCTTTTGTTGACCAGTCGTAAATCCTGCTCGGTGACCTCCGGAGGTAAACTCGCGCGGGGTGGGGATGAGGAGGACTCGCTGGCTCAGGGGCGAACTTTCCGTTGTCGTGGTGCGCCATCCTCTGGCGCAACTGTTGCACTGACTCTGCCGGCGGGGTCATCCGGAGGTTAACGAGCATTGCGGCAAAAGACGCGGACGAGCTGCTTGGAAACAATACCAGCGGAGGAGGCGTGCTGGGAGTGCGATCTCTGCAGCCCGAGGCTTAGGCGCACACATCACATGCAAAAGTGTGCGCGTTAACAAGACCAGGAGTGCAACTTGGACATTGAATAGAAGAAAAGCCCATATGTATATTTTGCACTCATCAATATGATCGGAAAACCTTTCCGCGAGACGTTTATGGGGGCACTAATAAATGAATGTTTGAGGGCGTGCTGGGGAGGAATTCAAACACACCACATATGCAATTTGGGACACGTGGAACACACTTTAGTGTAATAGGATATGTATTCCACACTCTCGTAAAAATCACATTTGTGGCGGGTTTAACCTACTGTGATTATTGTTTATTATGGAAAACGTAATTTGATTGCAAAACATCCCCGTGTGCGTCTGAATAAAGCGTAGAACGGTCATTTGGATCGTTTGCCCCAAAACACATGTTGGAAAAATATCTAATAAGTATTGGATATAATTATGCAAAATCGCGTGTGTGTGTGTGTGTGTGTGTGTGTGACACACGTATACACATATACAGACACACACTTGAAACTATTTTGTTTTCATTTTGTGGAGAGAAAAAAAAACACTAAGTGGTAAATATTGAATACGAGGAAACAACACATGTGCATAAGACCGACTTCGGTTCAGTATAAGTTATTGTGCTTTAGTGAAGATCGTCTTGCAAAAAAAAGGGTCGAAGACAGTTAGAAACAGTCAATACAATTTAAAAACAGTCCAGAAAAAAAAGTGCCATAGCGGAAGAAAAAAAAAATACTCAATTGACGGGCTACAGTTTTTCGGCGAGCTCTTTGCGGCACTTCATGCGCACATTTCGGCCTATTATGACTCAGGAGACAAAGGGGTAAAATATGGCACTATTTGTCCTGCGTGTGTTAAAATAAAAAGACGTAAAATGATCTGTATTTTATCTGTGCATATTTTAAATCATTACCTTTCGGGCTACAACATCTAAAAGCATCAACATCTGTTCATATGTGTTCAGTTATCCGCCTAATAATTCTCACAATGTCGGAACTGCGTGCAACAGAGGAATACAACACCGACAGAAAGCGTCCAAGCAGGGAGCCAAATAAAAAGCACGGCAGCAACTCCGTGTGGTCACATGCAGACTTGTGGAATTTTTATGGCACCCCTTGCCTCTTTGTGAGCTTGTGAAGTGGCTTTTTGGGTTCATGCTTCCTCACCCCTGAGCCGCTATTTATCTTGCAGGAGCACAGGAGATCTATAGCGACTAAAACTGGACATATTATATACCCTGCCGGTCTTCAATAATGTAAAGTAGATCCCCTAAAATATATTAGAGGAGATGTTGATTCGTCCGTGCGTGAAGGACACTAAAAGGGTGTGTGCATGTGCTTCCTCCAACAGCTGATTTATGACGGGCCAATGGCAACAAAGTTCCCACGAAACCATTTTCCCCAAGTCGAGACAAGGACACACCCAGGAGCTAAAAGTCCCCCCCCCCCCAAAAAAAAAGAAGGCAGGAGTGGTGGTCATGAAGGGGTGATGCAATAATAGGGCGGCAGTGCACTCTGCAGGCTCTTGCACACACAAACGTACTTTGCAAAAAAATAAGTATATTAAAAACTAAAAAACATTGGCCACACACAAATGCAGAAAATTACAGAACGTGTCCAGTTTCGACGGTTATTTCTAAAACGTTTTGATTCACAGTAATTAAAACCTGACTTAAACTACACGTTGAAATTATATGACATTTACACCTGATTTTTTGTTTCTACATATTTTACATTTTATATATTGCAAATTACATCTACGTTTGCTGGAGGCAAAGGAACGAATAAGAAAGTCGTCGTTGTCTGGTCAAATATGCTTTTTTTTTGTACAATTCGATTTATTCAGTATTGCACCCTTTAATAACTTGTGTATTCGTGTGTGCTTTCTGTCATAAATATATAATTTGTTGCAGCGTCTTTTTTGGCGACGAGCAACTCCAAGTACTCGAGAAATTCCTTCTATAACAAACATTCTGATATGAGTCAACAGTCAGGCATGTCGTAGTTCTTAAACCATCTGGGCTGTATGCAGTAAAAGAAGAGAAAAAAAAACTCCACTGAGAACGCGCACGCGCACTCCCGCAGAGTCCCAAACTTCAAACAGATATTTTCACTCCCATAGAGGTCAACGTGCCAATCTTTCCTCGGCAGACATTTTGAAACCTGCGCTTCAACTGCGCCGCCACAAGGGGGGGACAAAACGCTCTCGTCTCCACCGCCAGCCAGGACATCCACAAACTGCGGCTTGAAGCCCATCCCAGTTTCAAGTCAACATCAAATAAACACACGCAAAGCGATGCAAAGGGCAAACGAATAGGAGAACAATCATATCGTGAGACATGATTTTTGAATGATCAGACAGTATTGATCATGATGATAGTGACCAGCAGCAAACGCAGCATCGCGAGTAACAATATGGCTGATAATATGCGATTTACAGGTTTACGTAGAGTAAATATTTGCTGCGCTGTTTTACCTATTCTGTTGGGTCCCATGACAGAAGACTTGACAGAGGGTCCCGCGGGAGGCCAGTGACGCACCGGGGACTCCTTCCACACATCTTGCCAAAAAGCATCCAGTCACATCGGAAAGGAAGCTTCTGTGGCATCAAATCCTCCAAAATGAGAGAAAAAAAAGACGTGAGCGGTCGAGGCTTAAGAAGGGCGCCGGTGAAACCATCCGTGTGGGAGCCGGAGCCTGTTTAATGAAAGGCTGCTCTATTCCTCGATTGGAAATTATATATAAAAAGTTCATGTTCACTGCTCCTGGCCACGTGACGAGAGCCGGCCAATGGGAGCCCGATGTGGCTCGTAAAGCCGTATTGCCATGTTGTAAATTTTCATAAACAACAACGGATTTATGGCCCAGTGCTGGAGGAAGATCGGGGGGTGGGGGGGAAGAGAGGGGAGTACAAAGGAGGAGGTCAACAGCAGGCGCCATCTTAGTGAGGGAAGCGGGAACGCAGAGTTCAACAGTAAATTCTCTTTCTGGTGCAGCTTGCCTCGTCTCGCTTCTTCATAATTCACATTCCCACAAGTGAAATTTTGTCCGTACCCCCGTACCTTTTTTTAAATATGTACCGCCACACTATATTAATGACCTGATTTGAAGAAATTTAATTACAACATACTGATATAACAACATCGAGTGAATAAAATAAATACATTTGTGGTAGGGAAGGTTATCCCAAAATTTTGTCTAAATATGAACAAATCGATCATTTTCAATGTATATTATATATGTCAAATAAATGTTAGAATTTTGTGAGTGTCCATCTTTTTTCCCCGTCCAGGGTAAAAGCATAGGGCACAATTACGAAGGAATTACCGTGCGTGTGTTAGGGGAATATCGATTGGGGAGTCTAATCAGTATTTCGTGTGGGCATGTTGAGTGACTTTCGAAATGGGGATAAGATATTGATATATTGAATTTGTGTACGGGCGTAGTACAGTATGTTGAAAACAAGATGTTTAATGTTTAATTTGCGGCCATGGAATTTACATTTTAGGTTTAAAAAAAAAACAAAACATTATTTTCGGACATTCCAAAAGGAGCTCAAAACAGAATTCCCTCTAAAATGTTTCATTTATTACTTTTGCAAAATGTTAGTATGGGGTGCCACGTGGCAAATCATTATAATGTGCTGAATGGGGTCCATTTTGAAGAGTTTTTTTTTTGTGTTGCAGTGACTCTTGCCTCCACAGAGGATCCATCGACAGACATCATGACTGTTCTCCGTCGCTCTCGACCTGCTGTGACATTTCTTGGATCCTGCTGTCCCTGGAATCAGATTCGCATTCGTCTCTCTCGGTGCAAAATATTCTCCATCCTGCTTCGTTGTGTCACGTAATGGAAGAACTTCTTTTCCGATTGCACGACTTGTCCTGTAAAATAAAGTAAAACGAACCATGCTGGGGAAAAATGCATTCAAAATCAAGCTTGGTTGTCTAATTTCACAGTTAAATGTTCTGTTTCATCCGTGTCATAAATCCATTAAATCCATCTCAAAATAAAATACAATCTTTCACAGTGCACCTGACTGATCCGCAACTGTCACTATTACTGCTTATTGACATCGACATCGAAATTAACGCGTTGGGGAATTAAAAAAAAAATACCAGCAGCCCTTCCTCACAATGTGCATGCCCAATTAGAAAGTATCGCGCTTCGGAGTGCAGGAGAGCGATTTACACAAAAGGTCACTTTTTTTTTTTTTTTTTTTTTTACAACCACAAAGGGGATAAGAGGCTGTGAGAGTAATAGGAGTGCACAGAACCCCACCCACCACCACCACTCCCCACCCCAACGGCAAGGTCTATTGGTGCTGAACACAGAGGCGCTGACCAAATGAATTTATGGCTGCAAAACTCATTAGTTGCGCAATAAAAGTTTTACGATTCCTCCCTTGCAACACCAGTGGCTTCACGAAATTAATTGAAACACCAATGGTTAGGCTAAGTATCCTTGTGTGGAGGGGAGAAGAAAGGCGGTGGGGGGGGGGGGGGGGCGTCACACTTGGAGTCCTAGCACATACCTGCTGTTTACATCATCCAGGCTGCATCCGGTGTTGTTTATCCGGGCGGCTGGTGCAGGCTATGCCGGGGCCGGATGGGAGCAGCTGTCGGGGAGCGGCCGGCTCCGGATAAACTGGCTGGGTGGGGGTGCCGCCTCTGGCCGTGTCAACTGGGCTGCATTTGGGCCGAGCCTCCAGACAAGACCGGTCAAACGCAAGATCTCCAGCAGACACACTTCCACCCGGACTCGACCGGATCTGGAGAGTGCAAATTCCTCGGCTGTGTTTGGAAACAGACAACCCATCCACGGCCGTATATTTACCAAGAAGACCGGCCACATAATAAGGAATCATATTTTTTTCCTGTCTGATTTGTTGGGCCAGAATCCTCACTGTCGTTTTTACGAGTTTGCGTGATATATGACTGCAATACGGCCTAGATTTACACCAAACACCATTTTGACCGTGCACTGAGGAACTCGGTCACGTGACTTTGGCCTGCCCGTTGTCAGCCAATCGGGGGGCAGATATGACATCCATCATGGCGCAGACTGCACAGCGGGATGACCAATTCACGCTCTAAAACATGAAGCACATCACACAAAAAAAGCAGGCAATATTCACCCAAAACTAGATTAATACTTCTCGCTCTAAAACATGAAGCACATCACACAAAAAAGCAGGCAATATTCACCCAAAACTAGATTAAACATATAACTTGAACACAAATATTAAAATGGGCATGAAATTTAGTAATGGGTAAAATGTCCATTCCCAAACAACCATCCATCGATACAATATTGCAATAAGATCAAACGGGCCTACTCGATTTATCGATCTGTACTGCATCCCAAATTTAGCTTTTTTTCGGTTTTGTCAAAATATTTGTTGTCTTATTCAAGTTTTCATTCTATTAGACATGGGGGGGGGGGGATTAAATGAATGTCCTATAGTAGGCTACCCAAATGCGGTGCTGCGGTTTTAAAAATGCTGGGTCAAAATTGAGACCGGCCAATCAATAGTCAATTTGACCTAAATTTGTCGTTTGGCCCAATTTGGATTGTTTTTGACGAGTTGAGTTGAGTTGAGCACTTCTAAGAAACTATGCAGAAGGGGAGCTGCTTTTTAACCACCCATTCCGTGGTTCTATAGAGAACCAATAACTATCTATAGCATCAAATTAGAACCAAATGGTGATTGGCTCCTCAAATATAAATAAATAAACTCCCAATTTATTTATTTATAATGTAGTTTGCAAAACCTTGTAAAGTACAGCAATTAAATTTAAACCACGTGGTTATTTTAGAATAGTAACGATTAGTTTCGGACTGTAGTGAGTTGTACTTTAGCAACTAGAATGAACATAATTGATAAATACATATCTTGATCGAAAGACAGTTTAAATATTTCTAACAGTTATTTAAAACCTTGCAGCGATGAAACAAAACAGGGATATGTTAAGAGATGAATACTTTGGGGGCCGTAAGCTAACCATATTTTACCTTGATCTCACTTTAGTTTATTATTATTAATTTTAATAATGTCCGTGATCTTAAACGTAATTAGAAATACATGAGCAACTGCATGTGCCCATGAGAGTTGAAGCAGCCCCTGACCCGGCGCGCGCTGATCCCTTCTAACCGCAGTCAAGCGTTTGGCTCGTGCACGTGCAGCGACTGTTAAAAAGGTGTGAAATTGTTTGGCTGGACTCTTAAAAATGTTACGAGAGTATTTTTTTTTTTTTTTGCCCACCACCACCGCTGCCGCCGACAGAGAGCAGGTCCATTAAAGCAGACGCGTTCGAAAAAGCTGTTATAAAGCCGTGTCGCCCCCTGCTGGAAGAGTCGGAGAAAGCCATGTGCACAACGTCGTTTGTGTTTTCTGCAACAAGATTGAATAAATTCCGTGATCGCATTGGAGCTAAATGTCACACTTCTGGGGTTTATCAGAGAGATAATGTGGTTTTAAATGCTGCACAATTCCAGTCGGGCTGCGTCGTTCTCATACTCCATATTAGTAAACATATCCTGGAAGAATTTGGCATCAAAGAAATATGCCTGATCAGACTAAACACACAGTTTTAATATGACTAAAGTAATATTACAAAACAAGCAATATGAAAATCATGAAATTGTCCCAGTTCGCTCCTATTTTCCCCAAATAGATGCAATTTTACAGGATATGTAAACATGAGCACAACAGTGTATACAGCTCTGGTAAAATGGAGACCACTGCGAAATTAATTCATGCCAACAAATGACATGGGTGTGTGTGTTTTTTTTTTCTGATCGCATTTTATTTCTAAATAATCTTCTTTTCCTTGTTTTATGTTTAACATAAACATGCATATCGAACAAGACCTTGGGGGAAAATAATCGCATATTAAATCGCAATGGTCCAAAAAAATTGAAATTTGTTCAGCCCCATCAACCCCCTCCCCCACCCCCCAAAAAAAGCCGTATATGCATTTGTTAAAACATAATTGTGCACATGCACAGGACTGCTATACTGCATGCGCGTCTTTATGGCCGTCTCGACGCTGTAACGGGGTGCAGAGGGCGGAAGGTTCCCAGGTAGAAACAAAGGCAGCGTCCAAATGACCGTGAGTCGTGCATGCGCGTCCCCGTTGGGAAGAGTCCAATAAACCTGATCATTTCCGCTCGGCCTTTTGTCCAGAACCAAAGAGAAGAAAAAACAAATGGGTGCCATTCTGGAAACAGCCTAATTGTGTCTGGACGGCCATAAAGCCATTAAAAGTGGAATGCCAGACAGTATAGGAGACCAGGCGGTTTATGACGCTGTCTCTCGGCGAGTCTTTGAAGTTTGGGTCCATCTGTGTCCCCCCTAAGCGCGTCACAACACACTCGAGTCTTCGGCTTCAAAATTGGCTTCCGAGGAATCCAACATTTTCTCCTTTGAATGGGAGGATGAACAAGCGTGAGAGTTGCCGTCAGCGATCGTGTGATTTGCATGTTCTGCCAAAGCTGTGCCAAAAAAAAAAAAAATTCTTCGTGTACAGACTTGAACCATGCCTTGGAGGAGGCCGTGTTTGGATAAAGACTCATTCACGAAGAATCCAAGTTTTTATCCCTGGGTGGTGACGTCTTGATTTAGTCCAACAAATGCGTTGTCAATTTCCCGATCAACCCCAAAATAGAAAGGCTCTATTTCCATCTGTCCAAGCCCTCCACGTCTTTTCCTTGTTTTGTGTGCGCTTCCCTCGCAGCGCTTTGCACCCCATAAAATGTTATAGCGGTAATTGTCTTTTACGGCTCTATAGAGCCATCACCATCCTCTGCCATCACGCCCTGTACTGTAGAGTCCAACGAGATATGCTCATATTTGTTTGGCTTCCAAATAAATCTCAATATCCACCGCCTCCCCCTTTTTTTTTTTTTTCCCTCGCTGAGAATAAACGCATTTCAACGCAGCGTCAATGAGGCAACATTTGTGCAGATAATTTGTTTTATTTTAATAAATAAAGTACAAATTACACTGGAGAACCAAAATTCAGACGGTCCGGCGGACCGAGAGGTAATCAATTAGAACCTACAGTATGTTATTTCGTCTCTCCTCACTAAACATTTTTTTTTCCCCTTCCGGAAACAAACAAAAAAAAAAATCCTTAAATTCAGGCTTATCTATAGCCAATCAAAAAAAAAATTCTACATTAATTCGCCATGAGAGGAAATATAGGTTATTGTAGGTAGTTGATAAACACATAGGTAGTCAGTCATGTAACGTAACATAGAGCTTCTCTGATAATACTTCGGAGGTTTTTGAGATGTAGCACCTATATATACATATATAATTTTTTTTAACCATAACTGCCAGACTAAATTGAGTCATATAACTATAAGAGAGAAACAACAACAAAATCCAACACATTTTACAAACTAGCTCAGGTGACTGTGAAATAGACAACACATAACTGGAAACATCCAAACACAAACAAGCACAGAGACCAGGCCAAATAATTCACTTTAACGAGGTACTAATGGGGAAAAAAAATAATAAAATGAAACACCATATGAAAAGGGCAACTAACAAAAAAAAAAAGGGGGGGGGGCACTGTTAAAATTGTGCAATATAAAAAAAAGGTAGTCGCTTCAAACGGGAGCCTAACATGCTTCTATACAAGACAATCAAGTCCAATAGGTTCTACTATATGGAACACGAAAACGAGTTTTTCCAGAAGCTCCGGCAGAGCGCACGAGAAAAAGCTCGCCATTAGCCTCAATGTGATTCTCCTTGACTCATCAGTCACTCATCTTTCGATGCGCCATCTTTGTTAAACTTCTTCATCTTCATCCGGCGGTTCTGGAACCAGATTTTAACCTGTCTCTCCGTGAGGTTCAGCAGCCTGGCCACCTCGTACCTACGGTCCCTGGTCAGGTAGGTGTTAAAGAGGAATTCTTTCTCCAGCTCCAGGATCTGGTGCTTTGTGTACGGACAGCGCTTTTTTCTCGTGGCACTCGCGTGGAGCCAGTTGGACACGGGGTTATCTGAAAGGAGTGGGGAGGGAGCAGGGAGAGGGTGGTGAGGACTCTCTCGTTTTTTTTGGGGAAGGGACGAGGGGCTAAATGCACAGAAATGTAAACACATGCATCATAAACGCCGAGGTGAATAAATGGCCACGTTGCCGGGGGTTGCCAATTAAGAAGGACCGTTAGAACAAGGGTCGGGCGTGGGGACGAGGGTGGGGGCGCATAAGGAAATGGCATGTTAAGAATGGCATCTGATGTGACGCGCGCGCCCCTCCGCGCAGCCCGACGTGACAGTAATCACGGGGAGGGAAATAAGACGCAAGCGGGACTTACTCGGATCCAGGTTCGGCTTCTCTTCACCCTCCCCGGTAACGTCGACTCCCCGGCCGGCGAGCGCCTCCTTCTCCCCGCCCGATTGCACCGAGCCGTTGCTGTAGTCGGAGAGCAGCAGCGCCGTGTGCGAACCGGCAGCCTCGGGTTTGATTCCGTAATGGTGGGATGCCTGTAATCCGCTCATGGGCAGGGACCCGGACATGGGTTCCAGGAGCCACGATTGGTAGCGGGCGTCTGACTCGGCCCCGACCGGGCCTTGGGGGTGCCCATAGGGGTGGTGGTACACAGACGAGACGCTGCCCGGGAACTGAGCCGGGACGTGGCTCCACGACGGGCCGAACACGGCGGGTTTGGACGTGAAGGTGCACGGTCCGAGCTCGCCGTGCTCGCCGATGGAAGGGGGGTGCTGTCTGCCGTGCTGGTACCCGGGCCCGGATGGGTATCTCGGCATGGAGAGCTCCTCGCTCTCGGGGAGAATGAGAGAATCGACGTAGTAACTAGTCACCGCTCCGGATGTCGACATAGCGGCAAACTACACGGTCACACGCACCCAAGTTAGCCGGCCAGCAGAGCCATACGGCGGCGACGACAACAACAGAGGGAAAAAAGCACGCGCGCACACACACATACGCAAGCAGTAAAGAGAGCTTCACAAAATAACAATGTGGAGAAATCAAGTAGCAACTTGGCCCCTCGCAGAAACTACAGTGGGTTGTAATGTGGGAGCCACGCCGGCAGGCCATTGGACGGCGGGCGCACGTGATCATACGGGCTGAACAATAAAGCATAAATCAATCCCTCTGGTCATTAAATACGCACACGGTCCCCAATAACAAGCACAGTTGGGGAAAATAGGGATAAATGAATAAAATCTGATTGATGCTAGATTGGAGAAATTATGAATGAAACGACGATGACGTCAGAAGGGAAAAAGTCCGTTTGTTGCCGTCGTCGCGGCTGCTCCTGGTGCATGTTCAAGCCAAATGACATTTTCGAAGCTCGTTTTATGAGCTATTTTATAGGCCACGTAAGCACCCTGCTAACCAAAACAATGTTTACAAAAACTTCAAGGCATGCAGTAATTTGGTTTAAAAAAAAATAAAAAAAATCAGCATTTGTCGAGCGACTTTCAAATGTTCTTCTTAGTTTCACACGTCGACTAACGCGAATATCCTTCCCGTTTCTTGCTTGAACTGTTCAAAGTGGAAAATAGCCACTCCGTGAATTTCTGACCTTTATTGAAAGCGGTTATTCGCACCCTCCAATTTGGATCATGTCTGCGTGCCCGTGGTGCGGCATGGAAATAAAACATGCTCATTAAGTTTAATGTTAATTGGGGGTTGCCTTTAACAACATTTGCCCAAACTTACAGTTCACGACACGAGCTGCACACGAAGCAAAAAAATAAATAAACATAGAAATACTAAATACCCACTGACCTATATGTGCATAACAGCCACCGTTTTTTTTATAAATTAAATATAACACGGCGCTCTTTAGTTGGTGAAAAATATAATTCACATTTAAACATCGCATTTGTGTTTTTACTCAAACGTTTTCATCAAGATTGTGTAGTATATATATTATTGGATTGGATACAACTTTATTGTCAAATGTGCTGTAACATACAGCACAGATGAAATTTCTTCCCTCTCAACATAAAATAAGAAACAAGTTATCTTCCCTCTCAACATAAAATAAGAAACAAGATATCAATTATAATTAACTTTCTCGTTTTTTTCCCCCCTTTCACGCTTTCATGCTTCACACGCTCCGTTGTATTTTATTGTTGGACAAAACGCATCGCAAATTGGGATTAGTTTCCTAAAAGCACTTTCGCGCCTGTCAAAAAAACAAAAAACATGACTCTTAAAGTATTGTGTGAAGCAAACAAAATAAAGACGTAAATAGAATGTTTGACGTGGTGCCCGCCGAATTAACCGAGTCAACACCCATGAAATATTTCGCAAACATGGCGTATTGTGCTCTCTTAACCTGCGTTCGACTTGTTTATTGTTTGCCACGCTGTTATCGCCTGCACATATTTCACCATGAACAAACAGCACCGATCCAACCTTACACTTAGCTAAAACATGCAAATTCCGGCCTCGGTTTCCGTCTTTTAGAATTAAATGATGCTAGGAGGTCAAGGGAGTAGCGGGGTGGGCATCCGGGGAATATTTTCAAGAATGAAAGCAACGATTTAAAAAAAGAAAGAAAACATATACAGGTTGCATGTGACGTCAATGGATTTCTGCGGTTATTTGTAGTACTACTTGTCTTTTGAGAGACGCGCTCAAACGAACGCAACGTTAAATGTCGACCGATACTTTGCGTTGTCACCCATCGAGGGTTGCGTATTTTTTTTTTTTTGCATTTACTCACGAGAGCACCCGCAAGGCAATTCCACACAAAGCTCCATTGCCATGAAAGAACCAGAAATGGACTAGGTGTGCATCCTATTTGGAGACTCCCACCTTATAGGTGCACATTGTTTAGCTAACAGACATCAAACGAGGGTAGAGAGGTGGGGGCGGGGGGTGGCAGGAAGGGGTCTGCAGAATAGACCCATCCACAAACGCCTCAGATGAGGAAAACACGCCACGATTGCAAAGGTTGTCGGGCTGTAAACTTAAATCAGGGTGTGTTTTTTTCACCAATTTTACCACGGGGGCTATTGAGATCGTTTGCTTCGGTAGATAACAGCCTGTCTGGCGGATCTAAACCTCGCCATAAAGTCCCTTCCCCTCCTTTTGTCTGAGCCACTATTGCGCAGCGGAAGCATCCGGTCTCATTGCCCACGGAGGTCGCTGTTGGCCCATTCACCTTCCCCTTCCCCTCCACTGCAGTGGTCGTAACCGAGGCCTTGTGTCTGGCGCGTCTGCGTCACGCTACTCGTGGAAAAAAAAATATATCTATTTTTTTCCCATACATATTCTTATGGATGCACGCTGTGTAGTTGATATTCTTTACAATTGACGTGATGATAGTCCAACTTGGAAAAGAAAAAAAAAGTTTGCAGCTGAGCAGCAGCCTTTCTTGAATCGTTCGCCTCGACGGGAGGTTCGTATCACGTTACCAACATTACTCCAGTTTTGTTTTTTTTTCCTTAAATCCATGCACTCCCTCTCCATTCGCCGTCGATGTCCATAACTGGGGCAATTAAGACAGTTTCATGTTGCAGAGTTCGAAATGCACCCCAACAACATGAAACTACCTAAACCACTCGACAGTTCATCCGGGGCCTCGAGTCTCACCAAACAAACCAAAGCAAATATAAAATAATCAAATCACACCAAAGCAACCGGAACCGACGAAAGCAGAATCACGCTATACCACAATCGGTGCACGCTCCACAAACACACAAACAAACGCACTTACCCTTCCGTCATCCCTGTCCCGAATCCTGTTAATCCCAATTCAATTACAAAAAAAAAAAAACAAAACAATACTGGATCCACGGTGTAAGTACAAGAAGCATGCAGCGAACAGGGACGCCTCTCCGTTTGAAAGGCTCTCCCACGACTGAAGCAGCTCTTAGAGGAGAGGGAGAAAGCTCATATAGCAGCCAGTCATAAAACTCCACAATAGCCGCTTGCATGCGGCTAAGACGCCTTGGAGCCTCATTTCTTAATTATTTCCGATGCTAATTGCCCAACACCATTTCCCCCTCGTCTTAAATACAATCCAAATGATAGATTTGGGGGAATTTGGGCTCATGCTGAGATAAAACACACACACACAAACACACGCACACAAACACACGCACACACACACACATTTACAAAGGGAGCAAAAATACAAGCAATGCGCAAGAGCGATAATTTATTCAGCATGACACAATAACACAATGTCGGTATGTACACAATAGTTCTACAAGTAAAAAAAAAAAAAAACATGGGCACAAGTGACTCGTCCTATTTATTTTTTTGAGTGGGAATGCCACGAAAGTTTGTTGCTCGATTTGCACATTTAGCTACACGAAAGAGGCCTGCCGACGAAAGACATTTAATTAACTTGGTCAACATGTGAATTGTTTGTCGTTCGTCAGATTGACGTGGTGATTGCAAAACGATTCCATGCAAAAAAAAAAAAAAAAAAAAAAATCGTGGAGATTTGACTCAAAACAAGAAATTTGTAGTTTATATTTTTATGGGTGAAATGGACTCCGCTGACTATCTAGCCGATAATACGAGCAACGAGACGTAAACATTGGAAAACATTCCACGTGTTTTCACTTTGAGTCACAGGGTGTGTGGCAGTCGAGCTCCGATGGCCCCCAATGAGAAATGGGTGGGGCCTAGTGGTCGTGGTGGCAATGGAAGGGAGGGTGCTGGCTGGAGGGAGGGTGGGGGGGCAGTCATTTGACGAATAACAATCTTTCCCTTTTAATGTGTTTTTTTTAGTTTGTTTTCACCTCGTTCATCACGAAAATCCGTAGTTGGACGTGAGCTCCCGGATCCTATTTTCCCGGGTCATTTTCTTTAATTTCATTCGGCGGTTCTGGAACCAAATTTTGACCTGTCTGTCAGTCAGGTGCACGCTTTTACTGATCTCCAGGCGGCGCTCTCGAGTCAGGTACATGTTGAACAGGAACTCTTTTTCTAGCTCCAGAGTTTGGTGCTTGGTGTACGGGCAACGCTTCTTCCGGCCGCTTTTTGCCGTCAGCCAGTTAGCCGCGTTGTCATTTTTCTTGTCGCCTGAAAGGGGACGACAACACACACAAATACACACACACACACACACACACTTGTTTTAACATGCACTGCAGTTCGGTTTTGTATTTTTTGGGGTCATGCAGTGAGTTTGAATGTCTATTTAGATGTTAGCATTTTTCTCCTACTATATGTGTGTGTGTGTGTGTGTGTGTGTATTTCGTGCAAATCGGTGTCCATTTGAATTTCTGCATCCGTATTGTGTGTGTTTATATTTTTTTCCCCTCTGTGTCCATTCGAGTTTTGTATCAGTGACCGTGTGTGTATTTGTTTATGTGCATAGAAGTCTTAGCGAGTGTGTGTGTGTGTGTGTGTGTGTGTGTGTGTGTGTGTGTGTGCGTGTGCGTGTGTGTGTCGCCGTCTATCTTTGTATTTTTCCCCCCTCTGCGTGTACACGTTATTTTTTTTTTGTTCGTGTCTGGGTTAATATATGTATTATTGCATCTTTGGGTCACTTTGTGTGCATATTTGTCCTTTTATGTCAATGGTGATTTTTTTTAATGATTATTTGCAACGTCTTTACTGGAGTGTGTATATGCATTTTTGTGTCACCGAGAGTGCTTTTCGAAAAGTCTTTGATCGTTTAGTAATAGTATGTGTAGGTCTATTATTAGCACTGATTAGTGTCTTGTGGTCGTCAGTGCCTGTCAGTGTGTATTCGTGTGTGTGTGTGTGTGTGTGTGTGTATTCGTGTGTCAGTATTTTTAGATTTACGTAATTGTGTCAAGGTGTGGAAATTTGTATCAAGCAGCCCACGATATTTTTGGTTTGTTTTATAGTCAGTGTGCATATCCCATTGTCTATTTGTGTCACTGTGTTTGTATTTTTTTGTGTGACTGTTTTTGTGTTCATCCACATGTGTCAACGAGTGTCTGAATTGTTATATTAGTGCTATTCGCCGTTTTTGTTGCAGTGTGTGTGTGTGTGTGTGTGTGTGTGTCACTGCTAACCTGTACAACGTTGCAAATTTGAAATGAATGACCTGTTTTTTGTGTTAACGATAGCGAAGAAACAAAACTACAATCCATTGCTGTACACAAAAAAACAAAAAACAAATCGGACCCTCACTTAAACCAGGTAGGCTAAAGGCTACATTTACGGCAAAAGAGTTAGCTTTCTAACCTCCATATACATTTCTATTAAATCCATGTTTCTTAAATGAAAAAAAGGCGAAGCCCTGTGATTTAAGAACCTTAGCAATACTAACTGTCCGCTGCATGTCACGATATTTATACGTCAATATAGACTATTTATAACGACGTGAATGAATACTCGCAGTTATTAGACAGCGCTCAGTAAGACAAATGCAAAGATTCCAAAGACGCGATAGGCTACGAAGCTTAACAGGTGCTGAACAGTTGTGCAAGAAAACCGTCAGAATGAACGTCGACTCTACCTTTGGTGTCCTTCTCCGGCCTTTCCTTGTCCTGCTCGTCGGTCTCCTCAGCGGAGGAGTCTTCCGCATCCGTGGACTCGCGTGGGTCTTCACTCCCGGCTGCGGCGTGGGGTTGCCGGTCCAAGTTCCCCGCGGACACGGGCTCCTCGTGGTCCCCGCTCCCTTCTTGCGGGGCGCTCGGAGCTTGCGTGGAGGTCGCCGGCGAGTGGAAGCGGGCAGGGGGGGCGGAGTGGGGGCCCAAATGAGAGTAGGGAGGCTGTGGGCCGTCGGCGTTGTAAAGTTTATGAGGTTGTGCGTGGGTCTGAGACAAGCGGAAATAGCACGGCATGGGAACTGTGCCGCCGCCGCCGCCGCCTCCTCCGCCACCGCCGCCATCGTTCACCGAGCCAGCAGGGGCTAACCTTGAATACGTCAGGTCTTCGGCACCGGAAGCTTTGGGGCACTTGGACTGCTCATAGAGACAGTAGGTGCTCTCTTCCTTAATGTTCTGCGGGAAGGAGCAGGGCGTGACCTGAGGACCCACGGAGCGCTCTTGGTCCACGCGACACGACCGCTGCGCGTCCATCCACATCTCCATACCGGACAGGTAGGCGCCCGGATTTGGGGGTCCCGCGTCAGCCCGCTTGGGGTTACCTGCGAAGTATCCATAGTTGTGTAGTCCGTAAGGCACTTCGGCGGCGGCGGCGCTGTGAGGCACGCACACGGCGGCACTTCCCGTGTAATGACCTCCGCAGTTCTCAGCCCTGCCGGTGATCAGAGAATCCACTAAGAAGGCATTTCCTGATGGACTGTCCGAACATGACATTATTGTCGAGTATTTTGGCGAAGGGAGAAGGTAGCCCCCTCTGTCTGACATTTCTTGTGCAAAACATGCTGGATATGATTAGAAGCGCCCCTCATTCTAGCGTGTGCGCCGGGCGGCCAATCGGAAGCTCACAAAGGGGCTAAGTCCCGCCCACTCGCAGCCGACGTAGCACGGCTATCAAGCGGCCGAGGACGAAGAGAACGCAGCCATCATGCACCTTCATCTCTCCTTAATGCACCATTCGAGCTTGAGAAGGCTCCACGCTCGCCGTGACACGTCGCCAAAGTTGCAGGAAACGTTAAAACAGCAAATGCATCACATTTCCCCACCCGATGTAGTCTGGACCAAAAATGTGTCCAATCAAGTCGAAACTTGCGCGGCATGCGAAGAAAAACGCACCAGAGACGTAAAAAGCCACGGGACTTGGAAGGTGATAAAATGTCTAAAATTTGCCGATGGGGCTTCCAGCAGCCAGCTGGAGCACTTCCGTCAACAAAAAAAAGAGCTAATTTGTTGGCGCTAATATGGCCTGAGGAGAACTGGAGCGATATCAAACAAAGCCAACATTTTGTTTTCTTCCCTTTCGAGATTCTTACTCTTAGTCATGACCTTACCCACTTACACTCTCTGTTTCTTTTTTTTATGCCCAGATTTATTTGCAATGGTATAAAAATCATATCGCCATAAGAGGAACTTTAACAATGATGGCTATTTTGTCACGATGAAACAATAAAATAGTGATTAGGGAATATTAAGAGAAATATGTTTGATCATTTCACTCTTCAAATAGTCGAATGAATAGAACCTTCATTTTTGGGGGGGGGGCGGAGGGTGAAAATTTTCGTTATCTTAACCAACCATTAAACTGTTACATTAGTAGAGGCCTGCTTTTATGATTTTCAGGAAATAAAAGTTTGATTATCCCCACCCCCAGCGTGAATCACAATTGTTTTAACGATGATACTGGGGGGCTTACTTGTCATTTAGAACAAACTAATAAAACGATGTTAATACTCGTGCCACCGCGCAAACAGAGAGACACCACGTTCAAATTCAAAACGTGTGCGTGCGTGTGTGTGTGTGTGTGTGTGTGTGTGTGTGTGTGTGTGTGCGTGTGTGCGTGTGTGTGTACCACACAGCGTGTGCATGGTGTTTGCACGTACACCTCGTCTCGCTGCTCCAATTCGGGGCCACAAGGGCCACAATAAAACTTTCCTTCCAACCTCCTTGCAAGGTCCTTGGCCATGCGCACTCTTACAGCTCCAGATAATTTCAGCTTGCCTTGCCATTACCGGCCCCAGGTGGGCTGCAAGACCCACATGGGTTTATTAACAAAGGGGTTGGAAAAAAATCAGATCAGGTATAAAACACATTTTGAGTCATAACTACTTATATAAAAAAAAACACGAGATAATGTAAATGCATTATGTTTGGGATTATGAAGGCAAGTCCTACTTGCCAATATGCATGCATACATGCACGCATATATTTGGAGACACACACACACACACACACACACACACACACACACACACACACACACACACACACACACACACACACACACATACATATATATGAGAGCTGCACGGTATTGGCAAAACATTCATATATACGTGTTGAATATTGCGGTAGATAATGTATGCTTCACGTGTATCAAAAGAAATTACATTTTTATTATCAAATGAAAGAAAAAAGCATGTGGATAAGCAACCAGGGTCAATGTATTTTTATGATTGTAATAACTAATTTTTTTTTTAATCTAGATAGGCATAATATATAGATATATTTGTTCGTATTAGCAGGCTTTTGCCCATATGCATTGTTCATCTATTGGATGTCGAAGCGCATTTGAGGTTCATCTGATTAGTCAAAGTCAGATAAAAACAATTTCAAATGGTAGGCCATGAGCATAATGACAATATTTTATATCAACAATTCCGCAGTTTTTTTTTACATACATACGTCTACAAACACACGCACACGCGCGCGCGCACACACACACACACACACACACACACACACACACACACACACAAATATATACATATTCATGTAGTACTATATTTATGTACGAGTTTCTTTTACAGTCATAAACACTTCTTAGGTTTCAAAACTTATCGGAAATCAGGCCAACGAAACACCGGCAGTCAATTCCGAAGCAGATATTCTCCTCCTGTGTCCTGCCAGCCTCTTGGACATATGAGCCAACGGTGGAACAAAATACATCAATTCATTACGTGTGTCCAGTATTTTACAATTTGGCCCTGTTGTGGAGCACAAGGAGATAAGGGGGGCTATCGATATCTTTCCGTTGCAGTTATTAATTGTCGCTATTAAATCTTCATTTTCACAGCTGCCCGGCCATTTTAGCCTCTCCACAGTTCACTGTGACCATTGGCTTTGATCGGGCCCATATAATGGTGGCCGAAGAGGCACTCTGGGTCGGATCATGTTCGTCCAGAGTGCAGCGATGAACAATAATGCGGCGTTTTATTACATCCAGCGGAAGCATTTATTTTTCACCAGAGAGTCCCAAAAAAAAAAAAAAAGTAGGGGGAAAGGAGAGCGGATCCACACGCACGGACGTCCACAGACACCGAGGAGCCTCAAGGGCAACATGTCGGGTCCAAAGATCGGAAGGAAAAAGGAGACGCAATCCGCGTTCTATCGCGACCAAACAATCGACTTTGACTAATAAGACTTTTGATACACTTGGCACGTTCGCCGGGGGGTTTTGGAAGGACGTCAAGCGCTGCTGTCTCTCAAGAGGAAGCGAGGAAGATAAATGCGTCGCTGTGAGTTAAGAAGGTGACTGCACGCGTGTTTAGGGTTTAGCCAGCCGACACAGCAACTACATGTCCAGCGGAGCTTTTTGACTAAGAGGGCTCCGCGCGTTGCGAATTCGACATTTGGGGGGGGAAAAAAAAGCTCCAGCTCAGCGAAATGAAGAGCTTATGCACGCACGGGGCAGCAATGGCGCACATGTGTTGCCTTTTAAGGGGCCCCGGGAAGCGCGGCTTCCGCGCGGCGCTGGGAGCTCCAGAAACCAAGTAACGAAGGGTTTTATTTTCCGATATCGCCCATATACCGAGGAGCAGATATATATATTCACAAGGCGGTGATTTTTTTTTTTTACCTGCCTGCGTTAGAGGTGAACCCTCCACGGCCGTGACATTGGTTCCAATAGCGCCGCCCGGTGGTAACGTAGAGTTAAGTCCCCAGGATGATTGAGACGGGCAACTCACGCGAGGGAAACCGGTCCAAAAATGAAGTCCACGCGGGGAACAAGAAGTGTTTTTCTCCCCCCTCTATCCTTTCCTCTTTCCTGTCGTGGCTCTCGCCTCCTTGGTAACACAGTTAATAACCTTGGGTCTCAGACGGTTTATTGCGGTGCACTCCAATTGTACAAATGCTCCAGACCCTCAGACGGCTTTTACGACTGCGTTGCCTCGGCAACGGGGAGGATGTCCCGTAATTAGGGACAGAATTCCAGCGCGTAGTAAGGGATGCGAGCGAGGCAAGGCCGGACTACAGCACAGAGGGGCAACCATAAACTTCAGCCTCTCTCTCGCCGGCGTTTATGACCCTTTTGACTGTCATATATGAACGCCAATGCGCTGCGGCTAGCTGCCATAAACACAGAGATAACAACAGCAAATATGGCGGCCCTGCCCAAACCTAAGAACTGCTGGAACAAGGCTTTCCAAAGCCGCAATATGTGGCGTGACAGCTTGACGGGAGAAGACAAACTTTTAGAAAAGCAGGGGGGGGGGGGGGGGGAGAAAAAAAAACTGCGCACAGCATAATAGTCCATGTTTTCTGCACATAAAATGTTGCTGTGACTAACGAAAAAGAGAAAAGCATTCTGAGAAATAAATGATCATGAAATGTGAATAGCAGAGTTCATTTAAATGATTTCCTATCATTTAGACGTGAAAAAATTCAGAGCACCGTTATAAGAATTTGCACTTAGGTTAACAAAGCATTGTGATGCAAAGACATTTCATTGCATGCTAATTAGATTTTTTTTTTGAGGGCATGGGGGGTAAAAGTTTGTGACAAGGGCCGTTGATTTTGAATTATCTTTTTTTAAAATGTAATCTTGCAGTTACAGTTGTGTAATCCTTTCCATACATAAATACATACATACAATTTTGCTCAATTAATGAGCATATAGCATATTTTTAATGAGCACGGAAAAAAACATGACTTGTATTTTAATCCTGTTATTTTAAATTGGGGTGTTTTAGAATTGGTCCAATCGTGGATAAAAAAAAAAAAAGCTGTCACCCCCCCCCCCCCCCCCCCCCCAGCCCCAAAAAAATGCCATGGTATGTTAAGTTAAACACAACTGCACTTGTAAAGTATTTCGTTTGGGCTCAATTATTAAATTGTGCAAAACCGTTCATGAATAATTACCGCTTTGTCAAACTAAATCAAAAGGACACGCATACAAACAACACATCCTTGAATGATATTTTCAGTTGGTTTTATTTGGAAATATAATATAATACACAATCGTGTTTGGGGGTCTAACAAGCAGGAAATTCGATACGTTAACCCTGACCAGCTTTTCGCCCTGACAGCATATACATGATTTTTTTTTTTTAATTTCCATTATATTCAGATTATGCGTCAGACCGCAAGAACAGTTTGCGAGTCATGGAAGAAAACAGAATAAATTGAGTTGGATCAAATTTGGAGGATATGCAGGAGACCGGCTGCATGTTTCGATACCTGTGTTTTGGGCGTGAACCTCAGTGCAACTCCCGTGGATCCAGTGGACGAGCTTATGTCTCTGGTGGTTAGAGGCCTGCTGCAGTATTTGACTAAAAAGGCAATTAAGGAAAAAAAAAATCAAAACGGCATTGTGGGTTTACGGGGTATAAAAAGAGGGGATATAAATACATTTAACCTGCTTGTTGTAATAAAGGTTGACTTGGTTAGACGTGACATGAAAAGACAGTAAACGAGTGGCTACAAAATAAATAGGCACACACACGCACAAAGAAAAAAAACATTACGTTACATTCGCATTCGTTCGGACGCTATTTGGTCACACCAATACTTGAATTGATTCACTTATTAATTAAACGTGACTTCCTTTCTGTGATTCCATCCGTACAAAAAAAAAAATCAAATTACATTTTGATAACAAAATACACTGGTTCAGTCCGAGTCAAAACTGACAATCATAAACAAAAAACAAAAAAAAACACGAGGACGAGTGAAATTCACGATTGCGTGAGGTGGGTTCATTGCGCGCGCAATAGAATCACAATTTCAAAATAAGAGCTTCAATAGCAGAATAAAGGTCCATGAAGCATAAAAAAAGTCTTCATCCAAGCTCGCTTTTTTTTTTTCGGGGGCTAGTCCGCGAACTTGAAATGCCCCACAATTGTTTTGGCGGCCATTGTGGCGGTGCGTGACAACAACCGCAGCCTGAGAGAGTCATGGCGGTGGTGGAGGGGACACCCGCATGGGTCCAAATAAGTCGCTCACTAGAGCAGAGGATTGGATGTATAATATTGCAACCTGTCTCTGTTCAGCTTCTTCTCCTTCATGCGGCGGTTCTGAAACCAGATCTTGACTTGGCGATCGGTGAGATTGAGCATCCGAGACAACTGCAGCCGCTTCTCTTTGTTAATGTACACGCTGAAAAAGAATTCTCGCTCAAGTTCTCTGATCTGATATTTGGAATAAGGGCATCTCTTCTTGCGGGTTCTCTGTCCATCTAGAGTGGAAGTGGGGGGGGGCAGACAACAAAAGGGAGAAGCTCGGTTATAATATACATACCGTAACCGTTCAAGTTAATGTGAAATTATGATCATGATAATGATGATGATTCCCCCCCCCACCCACCCCACCACAGTCCCAGTTCACGTTGGAAAGAAGACATTAAGGAATCGATCGCTTGAAAACATGAAAGTAAACACTTGAGATAGTCCCTCGCATATATCACCAATAACATTCCCCAGTTGAGTCAAAACAGTCGGTGCTGGTTGGCTTTGACCTTTTCCAGCAGGGGAGGCAGCAGCGGGCTAAATATACTCCACTC